GGAAAGACTTAAGTTACTGCAACCAACACTTACAAACAGTCAGGAAATTGAGGTGAATGCAAAGGAAACTGGAAAGGTCTCTTGGCAGGGATGTGTAAATAAATATACCTGTATATTCCGGCAGGCACCTTCATCCAGAACTGCCTAAAACTGTGGACTTTATTTCTGAGATTCTGAAACAAACAAATGCAATCTGCACTCAGTTTGGAATAACTGGGGTGGGGGGCACAGCTTACCAGGAATCTGTCTCATCTGGAATGCACACCCATCAATCCCTCTAAAAATATTTCCATACTTTTTAACTGATGTAGGAAATTGATTTAATTTGATGAAACATCAGCTACAAAAGGGACCCACAGACTCCATTAAAAGTTCCTTCTAAGCCTGTAGAAAAGGGCAATTTTGTCCATGATAACCAGCAGTTGCCCCCCCGCCCCAAATCTGTCTGTACAGTTTAAACTATTTATAGGTGAGAACTGTCAGTATACAGGAGTCATCAATTATGTATTTTAAATTACCAGTGAAGTCACAAATGCTTAGAGCTCAAAGATCCTGAGGTCATAGTGGATAAAGTGACTATAGCAATGGAAATAAAGTACTGAGATCTTAGGTAGAAGGGCTTATCTTAGCTGCTTAGCAGCAACTTAATTCTCTCCATCAAGGTAAAGGAGCCATAGACAAAGACAAAAAACCCACCACTTGCAGAAATTTGGGCAGCATCTCTCTTAACTACTGCAAACAAGTTCTCATGCTAAAGCTCTCGCCAGTTTCTAGAACGCTGATACAGTTCCTGTTAAGTTGTCTGGGAAGAGATCAGCGTCTTCCTCTTGTAGGGCAAGAGATCTACAAATAGAACACATAAATAGTTGAGTGACCAGCTTGTAAGGCAGAAGGGGAGATTACACCTTAGAAGTAAGGAAAATATGACTCTTAATCCTAGCCTTAAGATGGAGAACAGGAGAATGAGTATCCAGAGATCCAGAGAGTACTTTGTTATTTTAAGCTTACGTATCCAAAAGATGCACCATTCAGCCAGCTGCAGGCTTAACACATCTTTCAACCAACCCATGCTAACTTTTAATTCCAAGCTAACCCGCTTACAGGTCCAGCAATCAAGTCTACATCATGCTGATTTTTTTTTTAAATGGAAAAATATAAGCCATATAGAAAACAAGAGATCAAGGCACCAAGCTCAGTTTCCTCTCTCTTTCCTCACAACGTTGTGTTTTCTACTCTCCAAGCGATGCTAAAGGGCAACAGCTAAACGACTACTACAGACAGCATAATTTGGAGCTGACTGCTACGAGACTTTCTGGTGGCCTAATATCTAAGTCAAGTATTCCCCCATCATACTTACACACTTCCCCCAATTCTACAACAGATCACTGAAAAAGCAAATTGGTTCGCATTTGAGGTTAGAAGTATTTTAATTCTATCTAACCTCTGTCCACTCTCTGCTCATACCACCTGCATACAGCAATGGCTACAAATTAACACACAGGTTCTCCAATGGAAAGGTGCACAAGTTACATATATGATGAGATTTGGAAAAAAATTCCCCACAATACCACAAGAGACTGTACAGTTACTTCTGTTAAGTTACCACATTTAGGGAAAAATGATGCAAATTACTCAGCTGTACGTAGAAATAGTTAAATCAGACATTTCCAGTTCTCATAAAAGAGCTAGATTAGAAGAAACTGTGGAAAAAGCCAAGTGTATTTGTATATCATTTCTAAGATAGGTAACAGTGCAGAGCATGTAAATATACCGAAAGCATGCTTCCCCTAGGCACACTATGAAGGTGAAAGTGCTTAATCTGACCTGGTAGGTCTGAATACATCAGAAATCAGCAATAAATAACAAGTCATCAAGATGCAACTAGAAATTTTAAATAATTGCAATAATATCAATCAAGATTTGATTTGAAACCAAGCTGGTAGTCAGCCTGGGGAAATACTTAACTATAGACACTTTAAACAGTAACATTTCTTAAGTGTTTTATTGCTACAAACTGGTACATCTTATCACAAAAAGCTACAAGGCATATTATAACACATACTCTATTATACAGAGTGCAATGCAGTCCCCAAAACAGCCACACTCAACAGCACAATTTTTGAAGTTACTCATTCTGTACTAGGAGGTAAATATGATAAGCTTATGCCATACAGCATTTAATATATTTACCCCACAGACCCGCCTTTCTTTTCAACTGATTAGACCAAAATTATTATATCCAACTTTCAATACACACATCAAAAAAATAGGATGCTTAAAAAAATATACAACACAATGTTTTAATCAGCTTTAACAGTCAGTTTGCTATAAAAAGCTCAACTAAAATAGTCAATTTCATTTTAAACAAAATCGGAAACACAGAGGAATTATATAAACAAGTTCTCCAGGGAATGGAATGCATGCATATGGTGGGGAATCTCCAACAACTTCATTTGAGACTATTAAAAAGTCTTAGACACTTTAGAGCAGAAATAAAAAGCTGTTTTGCCCCCCCCAATATATTTTAATTTTCTTGCACTTAGTTATCTTCAGTGTGGTCTAAAGTGAAGTCAGTTTGTTCTTCAGTTTCTTCTTCCTCTTCTTCCTCTTCTTCCTCCTCACCCTCAGCTGGCTCATCAGCTTTGTCCTCTTCTTCCGTCTGCTGCTCCTGAGCCTGATCATTAACTTCAAAAGGATTTTCACCCTGAAGCAGAAGATTGAAAACAAACACTTTGATATTTCAAACATAAAATAAAATAATACTCATCATCTCAGTGAATGAAAAGGGCAGCCACTAAGAAATGCTGTGGTATTTTATACAGCTAGTATAGTTGGAGGAGGTGTGTGCGTGCACAAGAAAATCAAACCAGATTGGATTTAAAATTAGTAACACCTCATTTTTATGCACACTGGAAACTGGGATCCCAATAAACAGTTTCAATGAAAGTAGAAGTGGCATCGAGAAAAAAAAACAAAGTACAAATATACAAACTTCAGTTTAACTTCAACATTCAGTAAATTAAAATTACATAGCTAAGTTTAAACATGTTTTTGTTAAGAACTACAGCTGTTTTCTTTTTCTCTCGCATTAAAACCAAATCTGAACAGAACAACTTCATTCTGCTTTTCTTTATTTACAGTCTTTATTCACTCTGAATAATTCTATCAAAAAGGCAAACTCTTCAGTAAACGAAAAAGAAATCTAGAATTAATTACGTTGACTAGCCTGAAATTCATTCCATTCCTGATCTAGATTTCTCAGATATCATTTTAAATACGTTGGCATTCTAGTTTCACATTTTCTCTATTTCATGAAATAGTTCACTACAAGACATATCTCAGTTTTTACTTGTTCCATATATTTAAGAACTATGAATAATCAATAAAGAGTAACAACATGAAGTATTAGGAGTTTATTTGCTAAAGCTCCTTCTATGTTCAAACATCTGACAGAGCAAGTCTGATCTGAATATATGACACCAATCACTAACTACACAAGAACTGGGATTTCAAGAACATTATTTAAAAGATGATCCAAAAGAGAAATTGAATACGAGGCTCCTTGTCCTTTTTTTTTGCTTACTTATAAAAAGAAACATAAATATTTCTACTTTAGCTACTTTTTTCAGATAGGGTCTTCTAGGTAGCCTATAAATCACTGAAAAATTAGAAAGCTATAAAAATAGTTACCAAATGCCAGTGAAGAAAAACTTGGCTTCACTGTTATTCTAAAAAAATCAAGAAAACCCACAAAATCTTATTTAAAGAATAACCCAAAGAAAGCAGAATTCTTTGAGACCATATTATTCTGAGTCCCAGGACAATTCTATGCACGCACTTTGTGATGGCCAGCCTACAACACTTAGATGGTTGTGTCTGTTGAGCCCAATCAACTCGTAGCCTAACCAAAGACATACCTGCCACATATAAACCCCCTTGAATAAGGTAGTATTTAAACTTCTTTAAGATACTAAGTTTGGCTTTTTTAGAAGTAGATTCTCATTGGTAAGGGTCAAGTACATAGAAAGCTGGTATCGTAACTTATATGAGCGCTACGAAAACAAGCAAACCCTACACCTCAGTTTAAACTCACGCTGCTTTTAGATGATCCGCTATTACTGTCAGGCACCATGGGGCTACAGAACACTCAGGAGTATTTCACCGAATAGGTAACAGTGTCCAACATTGAAATACCAAAAATATTAGCTCAGTAAACCATTTCATGAAAAAAACCACATGGAAAAGCAAGCACCCAAGCCGATTAAATTCCAACATCAATGGAAAGCATTGTGAAATAAAAAGGCTGAGCATCCAAACCTTAATTCAACAAGGATTAGTGCAACTCCCCAAAACTGTACTCATCTACTTTCCTTTTTGGATAGAAAGGAGAAAGACTGCAAAGCCTGAAGTGCCATTTTCCTTGGGTTCAGCCAAGTATTTTCAACCACATTTGGGTACAGGAACAAGGATTTCCAGAGGCAGACAGAAACAAGCTAGTTACTGAGTTAGGAATACTCCACTTTATTTATTATATTAAGGTATATTAAGAGTTCCATGTGGCCTACTGGAGAGTGTCATTTCCTGGCAAAACAAAACGTGGCCTTTCTCTGTAAATGACTCACGAGGATAGCGGAAGCCCTTTTATAGGCCTGATACAAAAGGAAAGATTAAAATCCTCTCATGTCTAGGCTAGGCATAATGATGAACTCTAGCTAAAGAATCCACTTCTGAAAGGACTACTTCCACAATCCTGCAGACAACTTGTGACTGTCCCTGACTCTTGGGGACAAGCTACAGAAAATTGTTACGCTTCATTCCTGTGGAGACAATACATTGCTTCTGGCTAACCCAGCAGAACTGGATTCAGCACAACTACTTCTGGCTGAACAGATCTCTATACAATAATAACAACAAAAAAATTAAGTTGCTTTCCCCAACTGCTTTTTCAGAGGAAAATGCACTTTTCAAGTTCTCAGACTAAGGAAAAAGTTACTGCCCTCAAGGGGAAGATCCTAACGACTGCGCTCTTTTCCAGTGATGTAGCATCAGAGGCATCCAGCACAGCATGCAGAGCCAATTTTGATGTTAGTTGATTTTGACAGCCACACATCCTCCCAGATGGCTTTAAAACAAAACAAAACAAAAACCAAAAAAACAGAAAACAAGAACACAGGCACACCACTGCACTGCTGCAGAAAGACTTGATGATGCCTAAAGAGCATAAAAACACAAGCAGATAAGTAGTTTATTCCCAAGAGATGCATTCTTTGGGTTCCCTGTCTCTAGAATATTTAAATTGCAGAGAAAGCTTAAGACTGTGAACTGGTACTTACAACCAAAGCTTTGGGATTCAAATGTCCCCAGAAACCGCTTTCTATATCTATTTATAACAGGTCTCACAAACCTGACCCAAAAAGATAGCAAAGTCTGCCTGCCCAACCGGTAAACTTCATGAATGGTATGCCTTCACTAATACACAGGGTATAATATATGGGGGAGATATATATATATATATAAAATGTCAACCTCTATGATGCGTCTCTTGAGCAACATCCAAGCAGCTTTTAATCACAGACATCATTCTATCTAGGAAGTTCTAAATGGTCCAAAGTTAGAGATAGTCATGACTTCATCAAGTGATTACTTTTTCCCTGAGAAACAAGATCGTCTTTTTTTCCTCCTTATTATAGATTATCTTTTTTCCTCCTTCTTATAAAGGGACATGCTACAGGTTGATAAAACTTTAAGATGATTGTTTCAGAGTGGCCTGCAGGTGGGTTGTGGTGGATTTCCCTCTTCCCCCCTTCTCTAAAATATGGATATAGAATAAGGAGAAACAAAGAACTTGGGAAAAAAGCATACAGAGAGTACACTGGAAGCATAAAAGGGTACCACAGAAGACCAATACTGGGGACAGGGCTCTTAAAAAGAATGGCCAAGGTAAGAAAAAAATCCTTTTAAGGGCCTTTGATTAAAATATTTATGATGAAGATATCAAACAAGACTAAGAGGAAAGCTTTCTTGCATGCAAAGGACAGGATACAAAAAATATGCTGTTAATTTAAGCACTGAATTGGATTTTCAAATACAGGAATTGAAAAAAATCATGGAACAAGATAGTGTAAAAGGTGGTCACCAGCACCATTCAGTCCATGAAGATCAGACGCAAGTTTTGACAACTTGAAACCTCAGTTCTGATGCAGTAGTTGTCTGGAAACTGAATGGAGAAATTTCCAACAATGCAGACACCAGCTTCAAAGCAGCAGCAGCGCAGGGAACAGAAGCAGCACTTCGTGACAGAAGACACAACACAGAAAATGATAGCCCTAACAGTGGGGTCCAGCAGAAGACTGGAAGAACTGTACACATGACAGAGTTATTTTAATACGAACAGATCATAGAATCATAGAATCGCTTTGGTCAGAAAAGACCTTTGAGATCATCAAGTCAACCTTTAACCTAACCCTGCCATCCCACCACTAAACCCTGGCCCTAAGCACCTCATCTATCCTTCTTTTAAATACCTCCAGTGATGGGGACTCAACCACCTCCCTGGGCAGCCCATTCCAGAGCCTGACAACCCTTTCGGTGAAGAAATTTTTCCTGATGTCTAGCCTAAACCTGCCCTGGCGCAGCTTCAAACCTTTCCCCCTCATCCTATTGTCCGTTACCAGGGAGAAGAGGCCGACCCCCACCTCACTACAGCCTCCTTTCAGGCAGTTGTAGGGTGCGATAAGGTCTCCCCTCAGAGATCCAAGGAAGCTGCATTTGTAAATTAAGAAGGCCACCTTTAAGAAACGCTGTTCTCCACCATTATGATTCCTGTTGCTCTCATCATCAGCTGTCAAGCCCTATCTGGACCTTTGTTTTTTTCCTTTCCATTCATAATTCTAGTCACTGACCAGAAGCATAACAAAGATCAGAGCCTTTCTAAAACACCAGGAGCTCTTCTAAAGCCACATCATCTAATTTACTGAAACTGTCTTCCATAGAGCTGGGACATTAATTGCAAATGGCTTGAAAGAAACAAAAGACCCACACACAACACATGAGGCTAACTTCATATAGATCCTTCCATCCTTCAGTGAAAACCACAGGCACCTTTACCATGTTAAAAAAAATTAAAAGTTAAAAAATAGCTTGACTCAGGGAAAATTACCAGGGGCGATTTAACCTGACCCAGGTGCAGGACCTTGCACTTGGCCTTGTTGAACCTCATGAGGTTCACACAGGCCCACCTCTCCAGCTTGTCCAGGTCTCTTTGGATGACATCCTGTCCTTCTGGCATGTCAACTGCACCACTCAGCTTGATGTCATCTGCAAACTTGCTGAGGGCGCACTTGATCTTGCTGCCTATGTCATTGATGAATATATTAAACAGCACTGGTCCCAGTATGGACCCTTGAGGGACACCACTCGTCACCAGTCTCCATCCAGACATCATGCTGTTGACCACCACCCTCTGGATGCGACCATCCAACCAATTCCTTATCCCCCAAACAGTCCACCCATCAAATCCATAGTGTCCCAAGTAAAACAGCAGTTGTTAATTGCTTGTCAGTTTAGCTTACTCCTGACCAGAAGTCATGATCCACTCCCTCATTTTCAAACATTAGCCAGAGCCTTCAACCTTGAAAAGTCTTATACAATGCAACATGCAGCAAGTATCCTTCAAAACTGATCACCTGCTGCCAGGTGTCAGCCAGCCAATTGACCCAAATTACATTAAATTGTTGTCCTCCACACAGTCACTCAGTAGCTCCATGGGGCAATCAAAATGGCTTAACCAGAATTTTTCACACAAAACCACAAAAGGGGAAGGTGAGCCCCTAATACTGGTTGTGGTAAAGAGGTGGATGACTACTCTCAGCAGGGGGTGGTTCTAGAAGGCAGTACTGGCCTTGACAGAACACTTTCCTAATTCAACTGTATTTGGGATATGTACCTCTTCTAGGCCACACATTAAAAGAACAAGCTTCCTAATACGCAGAGAAATCCAGTAGCATAACAGAAAAGAAAGAAAAAAAAAAATTTTATCTTTTTTGCTCATGTCAAACTGTATCAATAGGGATGCATAATCAGGAGTTGATGACCTGATGACCTGCTCTCCTGCTCTCCTTCTGTCAAAGGCATTTGTGATGTTGATGACCTGCCTTTGAGAATTGGTACAAATCTATGCAACAGCCTCACAGGTCTCTCCCGCTCTGAATTTCATCCTTCCGTGCTGCATATGCTGGACAGACAACACTTTCCAAAACAATGCTGGGTTTGGGTGTTTTGGGTTTTTTTTGTTTGTTTGGGGTTTCATTTTTTTTTGGGGTTGTTTTGGGGGTGTGGGGAGGGGTCGTTCCCCGAGCCAGTTTGCCCTTCATCTCAGAGCAAATTATTTTTTTGCTGTAACAAGAATTTCCCAGTCTCCTGAAGACTGCAGGCACCAAGCGCATGCATTGTGTACTCCGATTCATCACATGCTATATAATGAAACTTAGACTCCTTCAGTCCGCAATTGATTATGCATTGGGATTTGCATAACCAGAAGCCAGATACATCTCACTGAGCAGGTGTTGCTGAAAGCGTATTAAGTTCAATCCACGCCGGGAAATACCAGTGCTAGGCATTCTGAAAGCATCAGTGGTCTTGTCATGGAGACAATCTTGCAAATTTTATCTTTCTGAGTTTTCCAACTGGTGAATGGCAAATTTCCATTCCCCCTTTTACCAGTTTCCCACTAGGGGCCTGTACGGGACAACGCACACACATACCAGGCCATAAGGAGCACCAGAAGAGATGGCTGGAAATACAGGCAGATATTCTAGGCTGTAGTATCTGGTCATTCACTACCTTTTTCTTAATAGACATAGAATAGTTGTCTGAAACTGATTCACACACCCAACCACATATAATTTTGCAGGACATGACTAATTTGACATTTCAAAATCACAATTAACTTCTGTATTGGCTCATACCTTGTCGTATTTCTGCAACATGATATGGCTTTGTCTGAGTCTATTGTTTAGGCACGGGCAAAATTATAAACCAATTAGAAGTAACTACCAGAAATAGCCAACAACAGTACTACATAAAAAGTCACTTTGCTGGCCCAGAAGAAAAAAACCCTGTTTCTCAGGCCATGTATCTGCAACATAGGCTACCATGCCTTTTAAATTCTCTGGTCATGCCAACTACTGTTGTCAGATTTCATTTTTTGTATGCTGCCACGAATCCTAGCAACTCTGTGGAATAAAAGCAGCTGAGTAGTGTGTGCACTGTACTTCAGTACAAAGCCACATGCTGGAGCTTTTGCTTCTAAATGTAAAGATTGACTCATTTGTTAAGTGTTTTGTGCTCTACAGTTAGTATTACCTACAGAGTTAAAGACACTGCTTGCTGATGCTTTCCTAAAGCTTGATTTAGTTTTTTTTTGTAAGAGCGTCTAATTAAGAATTGCCTAGATACACATATAAATGGTAAACAAAACCCAAGAGCTAGTAAATCTGAAGGTGGGAATATTTTCTGCAAAGTTATCTGAGACAAACTGGCAAAATACGTTATAAGTATATTTGATCTATGAGCTATGTATAAGGAAGAAACAGAAGACAGAGAATTGTGGTTAAAATCCATCAGTATGGAGGAAACAGTGGTACAGCAAATGTTACAGATGACTTTTTTTTGCCATTTGCATCTTACCTTCACATACAGCTCGTATCGTGCCTTGACTATAGGATTATTCAAGATACTGGTGGCAGTAAGAACACTCTCCCTTTTTATTTGTTCTCTGTAGGCCTAGGAAACAAATTTCGCAGTGAATAACGATCATACATCTAATTCCAATTGTCACACAAATTCAAATTCATTGTCAGTTACTGTATGGAAAATAACAAACGTATTGCAGCAGGAAATGCTCATTATCAGCATTTAAGTCCAAACCACATAATAAGCTCAATTAAGTTTGGTAGTGTTTATAGTTTGCTGCTTTAGCTTGATCAAAAGCTGTATTTGTGTCTTGCTTATATAATGAACTACAACCACAGACCTGTCTACAACCACAGTTACCAGTTCTCATCTACAGATAACATGCACGCTTCCCCATCACGGCCTAACATACTGTTGAAGATGTCCCTGCTCACTGGAGCAGGGTTGGACTAGATGACCTTTAAAAGTCCCTTCCAGCCCAAACATTCTATGATATTCCATAATCACAGAAGGTCATATATAAACAAAGCATTACTGTAGCAATCTTGCTTACTATGACCACTGGGATTTTCTCCCTTCATGCTACTCTTTCAACCCTTCTACCAAACTTAAAAGCGTATCATAAATTGTAACAGGGACCAATTCCATACCACTGCTAATCCAGAACTGCTCTCACTTTTCTTCAAATTAAAAAGGTAATAGCCAAGCAAAAAAAAAAAAAAAAAGACACTAGGTTTGTTATCTTGCTGGAGACATACATATATGTTTTGCAATTTGAGTAAAAGTCTTTCCAACACTTAATGACAGTAAAAAAATTCTGCAAAAAAAAAAAAAAAAAGTAATTCATAGTAACCTTCTCAGGACTTACTGCTGTCAGCTGTTAAGTACACCAACATTTCATTAACTGTGGGTGCTTAAGCACTGCCTACTTCACAAGACATTACGTTTACAAAGTATACCGACAAGAACTTTCAAATTACTTGCACCAAGTACCATAACACTTCTCACCTACCATTAGGTTATGTTTTTGGTTGGGGGTTTTTTGTGGGTTTTGTTGGTTTTCTTTTTTTAGTAATATGTTGTGTCTTACCTGTTTTCCTTTTGTGTGATCAGGAGATTTTAAGTGCTGCTGAACAGAACTGTGTAATGCAGGAACATACACACTGCAAGCACTGCAGTGAACAGTCTCAACTTTCATCATATGGTCATCAGCAGTAACCCCTGTCAAAGAAGATGCAACAAATCATTAACACAAAACGTGTCATTCCAGGGAAGTGGAAGAGGGGCCTGTTTGTTTTATACCAGAAAATTAGACCTCTCAGTTCTTAAACATCAAACTGAACCACAGGGGAATATTCACCCAAATTCAGGCATCAAAATTAGGCTCTCTGAAGGCAATGTTGAAGGAGGATGTTTTTCACTGGGCTACTCCAACTACTTCTCTCCACAGACTATATATGAGACCCAGGCAATTATGTTTGCTGCCTAAGGTTATGATATATGAATACCTACCTGCCTAAATAGAGGGAAATAAAAATCATACGACTGAACTATTCTAAGGCACAAAAATACCATCTATTTAAAATAAACAGTAACTAATATCCTTAATAATACATATTTTGATGCAGAAAACAAAGCTTCACTAAAGCAGTTGGATTTACCTTACCCCTCATAAGAACAATTCATTTATTTTCTTGCCTCCCCTCACCACCAGAAGCAGCACATGAATCCAATTTGTCCTGCAAATTTAAATATTAGCTTGCCAACAGAACATTCTAAGCATAAAGGCAAACAGGCCCTCCAGTACTTAAGGAAAGCACACAAAAAGAATTTGGGAGATTAAGATAATGGCTGTATCCGTTTTTAAGTAGCTTTTAGCATTTAAATTCGAATTAAGGTAATGTTCAAACACGGTTATTGCCTAAAGTAAAGGTACCCAAAAGATGTGCCCTCTGGCTCTAGCAGATCTTTTGAAAGTCCTCAAGCAAAGGATAAAGTGGAAGGGTATGGTACATCAAGGCAGGAACACACAAAATGCTCTAGAAAACTGCCTGTAGGGCAGGCAAGGAGAAAAAAAATTCAGGCCAAGATGCATCCTGGGTAGCCAAGAGGGTGCTCAAATTCTTCCTTTTGTCAGCGTCCCTCAAAACCACAGCAACTATCCCTTACATTATCCAGATCCTTGCCGTCGTGTTTGAACATTATCACCTTACTGCTTTATTATTGATTACACCCTCTCTTTCAATCTATCCGCATCCACCTGTTGCCCCTCCTCATGCATTATACAAAGATCATGGCAAAGCCCACATCATTCTGTCTGTCAACTACCTAGCACAATGTTATCTCTGACAAGGCTACCTGGACCGCAAACATTAAAAAGGTTTGCCATCTCCCACTGTGCTTACGTTGCACATCGAATCAAGTGAAGCAAAGAATCCCAATCAGGTATGGAAAAGGTGTGAAAACTAATCATTTTAATCCAAACATTTTATCAAACTCAAATTAGAATGAAAGGAGAAAAGGACAAAAGCAGAGCTCCACAGTATGCACTTTCACATAAAAAGTATTCCTTACCTTCCATTATATCTTTCTCAGCAGCTTGAGCATTTTCCGTCTGGTTACTTGTCTGCTGCTTACGCATAGCTGTCTTCTTGAATTTATTCACCATGCACTCCTACAGAGAGTCAGAAAAAAAAAAAACTGTAACGCATTTGATGTACGATTGTTTATATTGCAATAGGCACCTATACTTAAAATATTACTCAGAATAGCTCTGTAATAAATAGCAATTAATTGCTGTTACTTCTTAACGCACTACTTTTAATTTTACAATTAAAACACTTTTACAGACCCTGAATTTGCTTCAACTTTCAGTCATATGTGCTGTGTCAAAAGTCAACTCCAAAAGGAGTAACAATGCCAAGTTAAGCATATTTTGAAGATAAATGGTAAATTGTAACTACATTCTAATGTAAAAGTATTGCATAAATCAAAAGCCGGTTGTCTTACATGAAGAAATTCCATCACTACTTTGTCAAATTTGGTTTGCTTCTGGATATGATCCAATGTTTCCTGGTGAGCTGCACTCTCCAGATGTGACTCAATTTCTTTTTCTTCAAATGTTCGAAATTTGCAAAATGAGCACGTAAATGCCATTCTATCAAGAGAAACAGATTAAATAATATTGCCATTAAAGAAACATTCTTCCCTTTCCTCAAAATGAGGACTTGACAAACCTAATCAGAAAAGGAATGGGAAAAGCATTCTTTAAAGAAGCCTAACTGAAAAAGAAAAAGGAAAAAAAAATTCCAGTAATTTTACCATTATGGAGGGTAACTGCTACAAAACAAAATAGAAATCAGGCCAGCCTCAGAGTAATGAATTATCTATGCATAAGATGAAAACTGCTGAAATAAGAAGCTAGCCATTTAAAAGCCACGTTATTCTGTGACCTGTATCTATCGCAGCTCCCTAGTTTGTGTCACCTTCTGTAGTACTTCTCACAGTCAAGCCAGTCCACGATTTCCTAACTACAAATAGTTAAAAGAATTCATTTAAAGCTCATTTTCCACATAAAAAAATGACATTATCTTTACAAGGAAATATGGCCTCCTCCATACAATGAGGAAACAGCACTGATCGTAGGCTGCACTGACACGGAAGTTTTGTACAGTGCTGGCCATTAGCCTGCTTGGCTGTGGCAAGACTGAGAAAAGTCGCAAACTATCTACTTATTTTTGCTACAGAATAGCTCACTGTACATATAAAACCAGAATGAAGTCAACTTCTAACAGCTTAAGTCCGCATGAATATATATTTAACTAAGTTACGTACTTCAAAAGCAGTACCATTCTAAGCTGCTTTTCAAGCGTACAATGATGCACTTGTGGGGGAGAAAGGGTTAGGAAGTTGTGTATTTTATGATACAGCAGAGGTCCAGTGAAACACTGTCTTCTAACCCACAGGATATGGCTGCCGGGTTTTGGCCCGAGGGTTTTTTTTGTTTGTTTGGATAAGTTTTTCGGTTCTGTTTTGGATGTGAGGGGTATGGGGTTGGGTTTTTCGGTCACTTCTTCCTTGCATTTTGTTTTCATAAAATCAGTCCAAAGGGTCTTTCAGAAAAGAAGACATATTCCTACAGAAGGACAAAGGGGAAGAAAATCACTGCACACAAGATAGAAGTTATATCACAAACCTGTATCCATCACCATATTTTTCACTGTTTTTTTCCCTTCTACGCCTTTGCTTCTCTCTTCTGGCCTCAATTCGCCGCTTTTCTTCTTCCTCGCTTTTAACTTCTCCTTTGCCATCTTAACATACAGTAGAAGGATTTTAAAAAGAAAAAGAAACCCAGTAAAAGTATCCATCTTCCACGTGTCCTCCACAAACACCTCAAAATGCAGAGAAAGACCCTATACCAAAGCAGTTCAATGGCTTATTTAAATGCCATGTAAGTTTTGCTTTGTTTTCCTCCTCTGAAGACAACCAATTTAAACATTTGCTTCCAACAATACAAACTTAGTAATGTAGGGGTTACACTCTACGTTACTCTCATAAAAGTAAGGAAATTCAGAGTTAAAGCAAACCCTACCCTGTAACGTCTAGTTATTAAAGGCCTCTTCAAGTAAGTAACCAGGAAAGGGTACTGGGGGTGCATGGGGAGAAACACATTTAAAATTCTCAGTGGTTTTAGAGCACCATTGGTACAATCCCCTTGCATAAAAAGAAACATCTAAAGCCATTCTCTTCCCCTGAAAAGGCACCTTCCAAAACCAAAAGCAAAGGTTCTCATAAAGGAGACAAGGCAGCATTTCATTAAGGTACCCAACATGAACTTCAACAACAGTACTATTTTTCCCATCTAGACTTTGCTCGATTTCACAGAAAAATGTTGCAAAAATTTTCAGCTGAAGAAACAAACCAGTGAGGAAGAACCAGCCAAAGTGAAAAAAAAAAAACCAAAACCACAAACACACCACCCACCCAAGAAATACCCAACCAAACCTTCAAAGAACTTCATTACATTATCACCTGGCATAGTAAGTAAGAGTGCAAAAAACCCAAATTACTAGAAATTAGTTTTGCAACATTAAAGACTCCTAAGGACACTGACTTTTTGCGTAAGTGGACTTATGTTTACCTTTCCTATGTCTGCTCTAAAAGCCTATGGACAAAGGGAAACAATTAGAATATTATGCAGTGAGTAGTTTTAGAGCAGGAAAAAGAGGATCACTTAGTTTTCTTTTGCAGTTCAACCTCAGGAGGGAGGGCAGCCTCCATGAAATCTGCCTCCAGCCAAACAGCAACAGAAAGGAAAGGACAGCAGCATAATGCAAAAAAAATAAGACTTGCAAAAAGCTCTGTGGATCTAAAGTGCCACTGAATACTGAAAACATTTCCACCGACTAAGAGCTTACACTTCATTCCTGATTACCCCAGCATTTTTCATTGTACAGCAAAGAGTTTAAAAAATTACTCTGATCCAGAAAGGACGAAAACTCCTATTTTTTTTTTTTTTAATTAATTTGAAAACAGAGAACAATCACCCACCCACAGAGGCAATTCCTATTACTGATCTAGGGATTTAAATTTCACTTAGTGCCTTACCACCAACCCTGGAAGCGTGCAAAAGATCACTTGTTTTACTGTTGTAAAGATTATCTAGCATGACATTCTGTAGAGTGAAATGGCCTATATCTTACCCCTCAAGATCACAAATTCAAGTGCCCGTCCTGTTACAACCTGGGGAATGGAAGTCTGAACCTACATATAAACTGGGACTCCCGGGGGGCTCCCACTTTCCTTCAGCGCACTTACACAAACTTTTAAAAATGAGAAAACCCATATAATTAAAAAAAAAAAAAAAAACCAAACAAATTACTACTATTTTAAGAAAATAAATTGATCAGTTGGCTGTAAATTTCCAGCGCTCCTTACCATCAGATTATACTACATACACAAGGGAAATGGGACCAAAACCAGTTTCAGCTTTAACACTGGATTTCTTTGTGTATGTGTTTGAAATCACTACAGTTAATATACAGTTCAACTGATTTTATGTAAACTAATAATTAACCTGTTTCATTAAGACTGCACATGAAATAGACCCTGTGTTCTTGAGAGCAGCTCTGGGTTAACTAAATCCACTTTTATAAAAAGTGACTCACCTAGGATTTAAGGGTGAGGTTGATCAGCTAGTGGGATAAACAATAGGATATGGGTGAGGAACTGGTGGGACAAACAACATTTAAACAATGGATGGCAGACCATTTACATTAATTTCACAAAAATTAAAACAAGTCAAACAACAACAACATATAGATATGATCAGAAAGCATAGAGACAATAAGCACGTAAAGAACAAAACAAGTGATGGATGGATGTTACAGTCATCTTCTCCATGGCCTAAATTTATAAACCCTTAAAAAAAGTCATGCTACTCAAGAACTATTGGTGGTCATAGATACAGGCTTACTAAATCTAATCACTCAAAGCCACACAAACACAATACCTACAATACCTTACCTGCCAAGGCAAACTGACTTACCTCCAAAAGTCTGATAGCCAAGGTCGTAAGCATCTCTTGTAAAGTCTTCATATATAACAACTGCACCACTTGTGTCCACTTCAATTTCCTAATAAAGTCAAATCCATAGATTTTGTAAGAAAAAACCTAACACAACAATGCCATTCTAAATCCAGAAAAAGACAGTGCAAATTACTTTATTTCCAATAATCTGTAACTTGCTATTTTTATCAACTATGACAACGGAAGAAAGCAAAATGAGTATCTAGTTAGGCTCAGTGTACAAACACTGCAAGCTATGCGTTTCTCTTTAATGCCTTGAAGTCTTTGTGAATTAGTTTCACAATCAAAATTGTCTTCTGCATAAATATTCTGACTTCCAATTCAGACTTTCAAACACTTTGTTGAGAATACGTTAATACCTCCACTCAAAAAGAAGGAAAATATCATTCCAGTCTCTCATCATGGAACCAGAGTATATATACACGCTTAGCTTACTAATCATGTTCTTGGATATTGTTGCAACTGATCTTTCTGTAGGTGGGAACTAATCTTCGTACCCTATCAGAGAACACCTGTTAGCACTGGTTCTTTCTTTATCTATCCTCTCTCCTTGATGCATCTTAGATCTCATCCATTCTTCCTCACTGCTGTTAGTAATCTCCCTGTCATTTTGTACTTAATTTCACAACCCACCCAAGCAGGTGATAGCTGCATGATTTCAAGCTGACTACCTATGGCAACACGAGAAGCGTTCACGTGATAGCTCTCTGTGAGTTACAAGAATAGGCAGGCTCTACAAATACACTTTAAAATTCATTTTCCAGGCTATCTGCACAAGCTATATCCTTCATTCGAAATCATTAAGGATTTCAGACTGCCACCAAAATAAGACAGGTTTAGGTAAAGTGGAAAAAAAAAAGTTTAGAAAAACTTACAGTTAAGTGCTTAATTTTTATAAATCTAGCTTAATAATTATTCATCTTAAGGTATACTGTACAAACTTCTGAAAGAATCACAACTTTTTCAATTCTGGGAATCTTTACCTCTATGGTAGAATCCTGGAAAGATGTCTTCATGTCTATAAACATAAAATGAGGAAGAAATAAATAATGAAAAAGTGCTGTCACTGTCAATTAATTTTAAGGCAGTAAGATAGTTAGGGAAAAAATTCAGCTTGTTATGCAGCTAGGACAGTCTACATCTACAATTTATCATATTTTAGTAATAAGACTAAATGTAAAATCAGTTATCCTTAGGAATATAAACTATAATAAATAAATAACTATAAAAATATAAATAGTCATCTAGAAGCAATCACCTATAATCTAATCCACAAACCAAGAAACTCAAGACTGAAAGGACAATATAATTTTGAGATACATTTTCATATAGCGATTGCATCCAATTTTCTATTAGTTGTTACCCACTTCTTAGTTTTCATGACATTGCTTAGTGCATCTTTCAGTTCAAGTCAGAAAATTGTACTAAGCTACTGAACAGTTTGTTCCCCCCAGTCTCAGAGCCACAGGACGGGTTGATTAAAAGTGCATTCTAGTAGGCACTATCTACTCCAGTTCTTAAACTAACTTCAATACATCGGTCCTTGGATTGTGGAAATCAGTGAGGGAGAACAGGTAACAAACTAGAAGTGCTCCGTCTCAAGGTAGTTTAAAAAAAAAAAAAAAAAAAAAAAAGAGAACCTACAAAAGTACTAAAAGAAGAAGAGCTAAGAGGGAGACCTTTGAGATGCAAGTGTTTGATATACCTGGATGTGCATTTTACAGACCCATTTCATCACAACAAAGCTAGCATGTCCAGCAATAACATTCCCTATACAAAAGGCAGAGGAATGTGTTCTACACACCCAGTGCCCGAAATTTTTACCGTACTCTTGAAGTTAAAGTTAAGGGAAGAGTTTTGTAATACACAGTAGTGTAACTAGAATTACAAAAACCAAAACCAAAATTTTCCCCATGGAAGTTTCTGCCAAGTCTGTGCATTTACCTTGCAAGCTTTGAGCTGAAGTAATTTTAAACACTCTTCAGGTATGATTTGAAATCAAACTATACAAAACACTGCAGATCCAAGCTACTGAGGAAATTACATGCACAAAAATCTAAACTTTTGACTGTTGCCATTCATAATGCTTAATACTCAAGTTTACATTCCCTCACAGCAAGTAATTTATTCAAACCTCATTAGTGATTTTTTCTCCATCTTTGCCTGCATTATCAAAATTATTAGAGCTGTAGGTCATCCTTAGGGAAGTTAAACAAATCAAGCGCCACTAATACTTTGCAATTTATATTTCCAGTTTATCTACCATATTTCCAGTTCTTCTCTTCATTATGGCATTTCATTTACAAGAAAGCGCAATCTCTCTCTGCCTGTCATAAATTATTCCGTAACAATTTTCACTGTTTTCTCAGTTTGCCTCCCTTTCCCTCTCCTCTTCACCCACACCTTATGCCCTTATTTTAGCTGCACTGCAGTTGATGCACTAGTTTTTATATCTGTCCAAGCATTGAGACAGCAAGGCCCAGGCTCATGCAAGGGCACATTTTAATATTTGTCAGGTATTGTCACTTAAGGGAACCTGAGATCTGAAATTATTTTCAGTGGTGAAAATTTGCCTCCAGGAAGTATCATTATAAAGTCTGAGTGAAAAAGTCTTCAGCAGTACATATTTAAACACATTAAAATATTCAATTTCATTCAGCAAATTATCTTTGCAGTAGAAGAATAAATTAATAAAATCTGTTGTGGAGTATTTCAAAGGTAGAAAATGAAGAATTACAAAACAGCACATACAGCCCTCTCTCTGAATATTAAAACTAATTAATTCCTAATGGATTAAAAAAAAAATTGGTGATTTTAACTTCAGAATTTTGGCACTTGTTACTTACTAGGTGATTTTTTCTGGCTCAGCTTCAAAATAGGTTTTGTCATTTTGGGTTTCTTGATAAATGTCCCACCAGGTTTGTTATATGGCTGTGGTATCATTTTTCTTTTTATTCCTCTTGCAGCAACTGCTGCAGGACTGGGTTTGTTATGATAGTCAACAACAATTCCAGGTCTGTGCATTCCTCCAAAGTCTCCCATATGCTGAAAATTTGTGAAATCAAGAGAAAGGTATTAGTATATGAAATCAACAGAAATAAAACAATTACTTGGTACAATAAAACTGTGAACTAAATAAAATCTGTGTTCTAGAGCAAAATGCAGGGGAAATTTAAGCTCCCACTTCGATGTTGTGTTGTGCAATGGCTTTGTGGGTGTTTGTCCAGTAGAATGAATACGCATGTATAAACTGTGTTTCTGCTTATTCAGAACCATTGTCCAGACTACGAACATGTCTATCAGAGTTCGTATCTCAGCCTAACACCTTGGCTCCTCTCTTCAGATTCTCTAGATGATGAATGACTTCTCCCTCTGGTAAAAAAAAAACAGCGCTAACCAATCCAGTTTTTGATGCTTTATTCAGCAGTCATTTAAAAAACCCACCAAAAAAACCACCCACGAAACCGAAACTTCTTTATGCCAAATGATTAGCAGTGATTTGAAAACTGAGTAAAGAAGGTTGTCCAGTGTGGAACAGCAATTAATTGAAGGAAGCTCATTCTTTCTTTTACTTATCTTTCCACCAAATTCAATAAATTCAGAATTTAAAAGTTGGGGGATGGAGCAATACAAAAACACAGCAGCAATAGGAATGAAAACTCAGTTGAAAGACTAAACCTTTCTACTATTTCTAAAATGGCGTACAGTCATTTGCAAACACTTTTTTATGCAAGTTACCTCCCTGAAGGCATGGAAAAAATGAGTCATCTGAAGAGGGAGAATTTAGGTAGCTGCAGTATTTTCAAAAGCACCATCATACTTCTTAATATTAACTCAATTATTTGATTAATAAAGGGCAGAAGAGAGCCCACTGACTGGATGGGTGACTTGGATAAGCAGAAATATTTGTATTGCCGTGAGAAGAGAATTAGTATCACGCTATCAAAGTTAAAAGAACAAAAATAACTTCAACATACTTTGTGAAAAGTATTACTTTTTTTTTTTTAAGCAAATCTTAAATGACAGACAGAATGTACCAAAACAGGCACTTTTCTTAATCAGAAGTCCATGCATAAGATCTCCATGTTAATTTATTTAGTTGAGATAGTTATAGAACTCCCTAGCATGTACATTTACACTGTACACATATGAATTTGACATGAAGAATGCACTTGGATAATTTCAAGTACTTTTTTGTTTTTAAAAAACAGACAGTCTATCTATTAAAGGTGCAATGCATTTTACATATGGTAAGTAGTTTAGCCTTTACATTCTCCTTTATTACCTAAAAGACTAAAAAGATAAATTTCAAAAGCAAAACAAAAAAGAAATAAGGCTACTTGGTTGTAACTCTGCACAGAACTTTCAGATCTAAATGAGTTCTGAAAGGATGGCATCCAAGCTTAAGAACCTTACACTTTCAGCTTCACAAGCAGAGAAACATAAAGATTAGAATCTATTTCTCATACCGTGCTATACGCTAGCTAGCAGCCATGTGCAAATCTGAGCTAAAATTTTAATATGGCAAATAGAGTACCCAAGAATGCTGCAAAGTAGACTTTCTGGAACAAAACCACCACACAATTAGGCATCTAAAAGACCCAGTAAAAAATAATCTTCCTCTACACTTCAAGCTACAAACAAGTTGTATGGTTTAATATTAAAGAATTGCTTCCCAAAGAAATATGGCACACTTGAGAATTTTAAAAGGTAGTTACACCTAGAGGCATAGGCAGAAAAGTGTTCACTGAACTCTTTGTGCTTCAGAAAAAAACATAATCAGAACTGGGATTATAAAACCAAGATAAAGGGGCACCATCAACTTAATAGTTAGTATTTCTGTCAGGATTTTTTTTTTTTTTAATTCTCTTCTGTTGGTATTTTTTTTTCCCCCTAGCTCATTTAACATCAAGCATTACTTCTTCAAACTGATCTACTATTTTGCATACAGTTAATCTTGCGGTTTCTTGGACATACAGTTTTTACATCCTACACTGGAAAGGATTCCACTGAAAAGGAATTAGAACATACAAGTCTTCAAAACAAAATGAATACAAGTAACAGGACTAGGCATGCTATCTGGAAATTAATCTCAATTCTGTGAAAGGACCTGATTTCAAGTTGATGATGCCCCTTTAATCGTGCTTTAATTTTGAAAAAGAATCACTGTAACTGCTAACCACCCACCTTTGCCATTTCCTCCCCATCACCCTTCCAATACACAAGTCAGAGTAAGAGTTAAGTTTAAAAGAAGACTTGATGTTTGATAAAACATGTGTTCAACACATTAAAGAAATAGCTAAGCTTTTACCTTTTCAGGAAACAAACTACTCTAGCATTCACAACCTGGGTTTTATTTTTTGCTTATACATTGCACCTTTAACCTACTCAAAACTTCAAAAGACTTGGAATTAAACTTTTACAATATTCAGGAATTTCCCCACCAGCAGCAAAGATGCTAGTGTTTACAAGGAAAAATGCAAGTCCTTTTAATCCCTTTTAGACCAAACCTACTACTTTTGTCTTCACCTTTCAAACAAAAGGAGAGATTTAACAAACCTTATCAACTAGTCTTCTATTACTCATTACTTTCAACAGAAAGAGGGACTGGGTTCTACTTGAAGACAGCTTCAAGGGGGTAAACAACATCGTCAACCATGATAGTTTGCTTAGACAAAAAACCCACACTGTACTGAACAGTGCATTCATTTTAAAGCAGTGGTCTTGAAAGGGTTTAAAAGAGTGTCTAGTGAAAAGAATCCGAAAAGATTCTGTACTTACTCCTCGGCCTCGGCCTCTGCCTGTTGATGGTCCTCCAAAAGCATCATAGTTTCTGCTTCCAAATCCACTTTCAGGATAAGCAGGCGTTCCTCTCCCCCGAGAGCCTACAGGTGCAGGCTTCATATGGGGTGAAGAAAAACTGCTGTAGGAAGAGTAACTCTCTCTTCCTCTGTCCTCCATAAACCCAGGCCTCAATTTTGAACGGGAGTAAGGTGCTTCCCAGCTAGACCCGCCCTGGTTTCTACCTCCGAAAGAGTCAAGGCTATTCCGGTAGGAGTTGTCAAATCGACCACCATAACTACCTCCGAAGCGGCTTTGTTCGGGTTCATTATAACCATAGCCAGATCTGTACAGATCTCGCCCACCCAGAGAAGACCCGGAGTCGTAAGACTCATAAGGTCCAAACCTGGAAAAGTTGCACAGTGAGGAGAAAAAAAAGTAAGCTTACTAATGTTATACATTTCAAAAGACAAGTTATCAGTTGACATTTATCAACTAAAATCAATTTATTACTATACTGGTCTGTACAGTTGTGTTATCGTTTAATCTTGATTAGGGCTGGGCAAATCACACTATGACCAGATAGAAAGCTATCTGAGCCATTTTTGCTACAAACAATTCTAAAGTTCAGTATACCTGAACTTTGCTTACTTAAAATTTTCAGCAACATTTATTACTAAAACATTATTAGAGCCCAGCCCTAGTCTCACAAAAATAATCACCTGCAGACATTCATAGGCTAGTCAAATGCTCCTTTCTTCAAAATCATGCCCTCATATTCTAACAGTTAAACAGCAGTTAAAAGGTGGCTTAGTTCTGAACTGAAGAAAAAAAAAAAAAAATTTTTTTTTTTAGTGGTACAGTTGTGAGTCTTAAACACCCCACAGTTCTAATTTTAAAGGAAAAATACACGTGCTCTTCCACTCATTATTTCTACTTTTTGGAAACTTTCTTCCCTGTAAAATTCAGTCTCCCAATCAAAGAGTTCATGATCTTCAATGTATCCATCTTTCACTTGCAGACCATTAAGTCTAGCAGCTCAGGATTTTGAAAGTCTACCCCATGCATGCACAGTGGACACAAAAAGTCCTTGGAATTTCAGAGTAGAGTAACAACCAGCTGAAATCTTTAGTTATTTACCAAGAGTTTGCTTTGCCTGGGGGGGAGGGTCAGGCTAGAACTCATTGATACTTGTAACCACTTGGAAGGGAAACACATTAGTGTCCCTGCAGGGTTATAGTAGGGTGATTCTGATAAAATATAAACTAGAACAGACTCAAATTACTAACTGTATCTGTAGTAAACTGAATGCCTTCATTTTAAAATATGTTAGTCTCAGAAGACCCAAAACTACACAGAAAATGACACTATCTACAGAAACAGCCCATGCACAATATTAACGTTACATGGCAAGAGACATTTTGGTTGTTCAAGTAGTCATTCAACCTCAATCATATGCAGATTACTATATGGTAGGTACAGCTCATTCCTGAATCTCTAAGATCGACTTAAAAGTCTGAGCAATGTTCATCATTAAACAAATTATGCTTAACTAAAATGTTTAACAGAACCGTGCAGCAAAACACAACGCTTCTCCAGCCTCCCTGCTTAGTACTGACCTTGCCCAGTGGCACCACAGTGACTACAGACAAGAATCATACAGTAGTCTGGCTACAGCCAGACAAGAATTCAAGGGCGCACACAAGAAAATCATCAGATTATCTAAGTTTTCTTCACATTTTATTTCCTCCAAGATAGAATCGCTACTCTGAAAAGCATGCTTCTTTGAATACAATATTAAGACCTAAATCCAATCAGCTGCTCCCTACTGTTTTTATCTGAAAGAGCAACAGTAATAGTATCCTAGCATTAAATACACAACTTTAAGACCACCGCATCAGAATTTTTACTTTTAGACCAATCCATCTTACAAAGCAGCCCAGAACATGTACACAGTTTTGAGTGTAATCGGTACCTGCCAATGAAATAATCTGGACATGACTTTCAGATTCAATACCAAGATCATTTAAGCACTGCACATTCAAACCAAAGAACATATACCCTAAATGTTCCTTGAAAACGGAATGTTGATAGATTCAGTCTAAGGCACTAAACCAGTTAGGTCTAGTCTGCTATGTCAGAAATAGTAGTCAGGCCAATCAACTACAAATTGCTAGCCATTACTGAAAAATAAAACTTTTTCCATTTTCATTCAAAGACGCATTGTTGCACTGTCAAACTTTTCCACAAAAATGCTGATTATTACAAGAATCTAGCTCTTACAGTTTAGTATTTGCTAGTATTTATCGAACATGAAGACTCAGAATGGAAGTGTTCATACAAAATCGTAACAACATGCCTCAGGAACACTTAAGTTAGAAGACAACGATTTAAACTTAAATTGGATTTGATCAATTCTTGGGACAACTGAAGGATTATTTTACCTGTTACCACCACCACCACCTCCTCCGCCTCCACCTCCATGACTCTCCATCCCATAGGATTGGTTAAGGTAAGAGTCCATGGATCGTGGGCCACCATAGCCTCCATGCCCATAATCACGGTCCATGTCTAAAAAAAGAGCAGAAAAATGTTTATAAAGAAAGCAAGCAAGAAGTCTTATTAAGTAATCTAGTTTAAATTCTTAAGTAAAAAGTTTACTCTTTGCCACAGTGCTTACAAACAAAATACAAAACTGCCAGTTGCAAACCAATTTTGACACCGTGCTTAGGGAAGCCGTGTGTCTTTGTCATTATCTGAGCACTTCTTAACTTAAATCCAGTTCATATTTCTTCCCAGTAGTGGATAACTTGGGATTGTTGTCCCATCAGCTGGAATTCAGACGCAAGTTAAATTAAGAGAATTAAATGGAGAAGCCCGATGTAGAAAATGTCAGAAGTTAGTGGAGAATTAAGATCACTTCCCTCCCTTTAATAACACACACAGCTCATAGGCATCTGCTTTCTCTATCCAATGCCAAAGAAACCTTCACTCACATCGACAGAGACCTTGGGTCAAGGTTACAAGCTCTCCTGCTGCAGTGCAGACTCTGTATATAAGCTACAGGCAAACCCAAGAATTTTCTCCAATCTAGCACAAACAAAAATCCATCCAAATCAGCACCAAGTTGCAGTTCACTAACTGCACTGAGATGTTGGTATTTCATAGCTAAACCGATGTCACTTCATGACATCTTTATACCTTGTAATGAAATTTGGCAGAAGAACCAACTTCTTCCTTAACACTGGAAGTCCTATGTAAAAGTTCTGGTTGAATAACCACTCATAAATTCAAAGCACTAAAACAGTGTCGTAGATCTGCATAACAAGTATGATCCACTGTCTTCCTGTAGCATACACAATTTGTACTTCACTAGCATTCTAGTGACCAAAACAGCTTCCCGGTACCAATCAACACTAACTTTTGGATAACACAAAGAAAGCCTGGCAAGTCCAGCCTCACAGAAGAGGTAGCACAGAGAAGGAAAACGCAGTGAACACAGGAAGGATAAAAATATAACCACACAAAGACTTGTCCACTCTAACAAGAGAGAGTATTTTATACATTTCAAAATCTCTGAGTTTCAACCATTGACTCTTCCAGAAGATAACAGGACAATAATCTCACTTGAAGTCGTAAGTTTCCTGTTTAAAGAAACATAGAAATGCTCTGTGCATATCATTTCATGAAAATAACTGTAGTGATGAAAATAAGCACATATACTATTTCCTTGTTTGTACCTGCTTCTTGTTAGCACCAGGCAGCCACTGTAATCTACTTTCTTACATCTGTCAACAAGAAGAATTCTGCAAGCGGTATTGAGCTGACTGTACCACTTTTACACAGATGTTCTTAGTATGCCTGAATAGAGACTCCCGACAAATTAAAATCTACTGCTGATTTTTTTTTCTTCTGATAATCATAGGCATTTCCTAAAGAACTAAAGATGATACTTCTGAAACAAAACAAAAAATTGAACATGGAAGCCACGCTGCACCTTTCCGTATTCTGAATGTACAATAACAATTCTGCAGCAAAGCACAAAAAAAGCTTTTCAAAATACTAATCATGTAGCACCAGACAGCATCAACTTCAACTGCAAGAAGTTACTCTTTAAAGAAATGGCTGAACTTTCTAAAAGAAGCATCTAATACTCTTCTCCGGTGTGCCTGAATGATCTGCCACCTAATCCAGTGGAATACCCTTAAGACTGCCTACATAAAGGTGCAGGCCAGTAAAAAGAGTAAGGTAGTCAACAAAATAAATTCAGTTTCAGAGAAATTAAGGTTAGAAGATCCCATGGTCAATCCCTGATCCAAGGTATTTTTTTTTAAATACAGAATACTTAATCAAAAGACACTGACATTTCAAAAACTGAAATATCTGACCTGAAAGCACGCAATGATTTACCTTAGTTTCACCTGCTCCCTATTATCAACAGACCCTGAGATGGCACAAAATTGATTAGGTTAAGAGCCAAAGAGGTGAATCAAATCACTCAACAAGGAAGGACACAACATACTGTCAAGATCCCTGCCGCTGCAATCCAATTCTATCACAGTTTTAAGCAGTGACCAGAAGTTAGCTAGCGGGAAAAACACAGGAACATTCACACACAAAAGAACTCTTCCAAAAAACGGTTTGAAGCATAGTTTTGAAATAAGTTTTTAGTCTAAAATTTTTAGCATGAAAGCAAATACTAAATTATGTTTTACAACTGCAGCATAACTTCCGACATCCGCTTTTGCTCAACACTCTCCTTACTCATCCACAGTTCCTGTTACCTAACCTCAACAGTCTTGCTGTAGAGCTATGTCAGTCCCTTAATCCTCAAATCACTGCCTTTAGGACATCACCACCTCCTCGCTCACAGCGAACAACTGACTCATCCTTTCCAAGCTCACTGCACCGCATTTACCTCCATTATAATACACTCACGTTTGAAAAGGTTTAACGGGGGATAAAAGAAGTGCAAAGAAGTGAAGAGGGATGATCACCTGCGTGATTTTCTACTACAAGAAACTGGAGGTAGCAAATGAAACTTAAAAATAACAAGCTAAAAATTTAATTGGATCCTTTTTCACAAAACAGGTACTTAAGTCCTTGAACGGCTCTGTGACAAGAAGTTACTAAAAATTTACATGGATTTAAGCAAGACATTGGATAAATCCACTGACAAGAAATTCAAAGGATGTTGAAAACAAAGACTATGTCTCTGGTTCAGGAAGTCCCCAAGCTGCAAATGAGCGAAGGCATATAAATATCCCGAAGGAGTACTTGTATTATTCCTTCCACACCTCCAAACGGACAGTGACATACAGCATATTGGTGAGACAGGACAGACACATCTTTGATCTGACCTAATGAAGGTGATTTTATGATCTCCTTCCAACTACTTCATTAACCGTTCCAGACTGCTGAGCAGTTAACCTAGCATTCCAACCACTGGCCTCCTGGTTCAGCCAGCTGCAAACTTTACCGAAGATTTATAGATTTTACACTTTATGCCCAGAGCGTGACAAAGATACTGCATTCAAATTAAGAAGTGCAGTATTTCTTCAGGCCTTCAGCTTTTCTTTACTCTGAAAGTCTGTTCTCCAGATAGACTTTATCCTAAAAAGGGGGGAATGACTTCGGTGAACGAAAATAAAAGGATTTCAATTTTTGAATGTAGTAGCTGAATAATAATCACTTGCACCGCTTTACTTATTGCAATCTTAAGGTAAATAGCATATTAGTTGACAAACTTCACAACTACAGAAATCAAAATGCATGCGTTTGCACTGGCCTCTCTCACACTTTTGATTCTTCCACTCCTAACTAAAGCAAGACAGATGGACACAGAGCATTAAAAAAAGCTGTACCCACACAGAACAATCTCCTCTGCCTGTAGCCTGTTCACTGTTACGTTACCTCTGGTTGTCACCAACGGTGGAGATATGCAGAAGTTGCCTGTCTGTGCAAACTATTCAGACCAAGCAAGAAATTGTTTCACATGCCAAGAAAACATGTGCCTAAGCACTAGAGAAAAACCACCAGGAATTGTGTTGCAGTGTCTCAAACTGGAAATTCAAAAGTGTAGTACTTTATTTAAGTTTAAATAGTAACTGTTTATCAAAGAAGCCTTTGAAGAAATATTGTATCTGTGTACCTATGAATACTACAGAGTGAAAAACAGAAGAAAAAAGCGGTTGGTATTTGCTCCTCAAGTTTATACATGAAAATCTCTGAACTGATGAAGACACTGACAAAGTATCTGAAACAGAGAATTTGCTGAAGGAATAAATCAGGTTTTGGTATCTGCAGCCTCTTGCATAAATACAGTGTGGATGAATAAGCTGTTGAACTAAAGTACAGAAAAAGAATTGCAAAGAACCATCTCACTTTTCATTTCTAGATCATACTTAAAATCTACTGGGGTAGGGGAGATTATTATTAAAAGTTATGTGAAAGGGAAAAAAAAATTATTACCTCAAATAAAAAAGAATGGGACACTAAAAGACAAGTTTGATTTATAAATTAAGATGTTCACGTATATGTATTCTTTCAGATAAAAAAAAAAGCCATATCTGGTAGACAGATAATTTAAAATAGCTGCAAAATAAATCTCAATAGCCAGCAAAGAAAAATCAAATTTTCTTTAGGAAAAGAACTAGGAAGTTAAACATGAGGTAGGTAAGAGCAGGTAAGCCTCAGAACCCCTTGGTACAAAGGACTCAAAAGAAAAAGCTTAAGATCAGAGAACATCAAAATCATATTCACAGCACAAAGAAGTGATTTTCAACAGTGTTGTCCATGTGGAGCATATGAAAAGGCTAGGATAATGAGAAAGATCTTGCAGTAATAAATAATAAATGAAAACCAATAAACTTCGATATAATAAAAATAACTTTCAAACAACAAAAAAACAGAAGTGCCAGCTTGAAACAAGCTAAATTTCATAATCTTCAATGACTACAACAAGCTTAAGGATCCACTGTGCAATAGCAAGCAAAGTTTTTTCCAGGCACGTTACATTTTTCATAATACCATGCCTGCTTTAAGATCACAACCTTGTTGTTAGGTACAGAAGTTTTAACACACCATTGTGTCCCATGCAAAACAAGGAACCGATCCAACAACATAGATGAATTTTAGTAATAACAACAAAAGCCATTTCCCCTTCCAGATTAAAAGGAGAAGAGTTACAGTAATCAAAATATTAACATGTATAGTTAATAATATTTCTACTAAGAGCATCAACAGAATTTATTCTACAGGCTGTGTCACCCCTGTCTCAAACCAAGTCATCAGCAAGAGACAACGGTGGAATTACAGCGGTCATCACCACCCAATGAGAAGTGCTTCACACTGGCTGAAAGTTTCCAACAGGAAGGACCTTGCAAAGAACTCAAATGAAAAGTGGGCAAAGATGAAAACTCTCAACTTCCATCCTCTATTGCCATCTACTGGACCCCTACAAAATAGCCTCTAGCCCACTGTACAGAATCAGGATAAGACAAAGCTTTATGCCTGCCCCACTAACGTACATACAATGCATAAACATTAACGTGACATGTTTCAAGCAGCATACACCATAATTTAAAGTTATTTAACATTTATGAATAATAGAAAGCTTAATTATCACAATGAAAAATATTATCACAGAGGCACGTGAAAGGAACAATCTAATTGTACAACATACATTTGATTGGTTACTTCCCACAGGATGAGCCTGGATTCACGTTAATACTACTGTCATCAGATCTCAGGAAAGCAGGTTCTGGTTATCGGCTACAGTGAACATTCCAATAAGATACTTAAACTGCCACTTAAAAAGATTATTTTCTACTGAAAATCTAAAGGACATTTAATTAGGAATCAATACAGAAAATTAAAAAAGAGCCACAGCTTTAATTTATTTATTTTGCTACAAAGAAAGATAAATGCATAATAGCATCATTGGCAAGAAAAGGTAAGACTCAAGGAATGTATCATAAAAATGATCATACTGCAATCAAAGATGTGTCTGTAATCCAACGTGTTATTGCTGTGTAACAGCCAGCAAGAGCATCGAGAGATCCAACAGCAAACGCTTATTTGATGACATCTGTAAATGAATCTTGGGTACAGCTTATGGCAAATCTTTTATATTAACATCCTTTTAGTACTTGCTTGCATGCTGGCAAGAGATGTCAAATCATTTCTTGAGTCTTACTAAACTCATAGCCTTAATCATCTTACAAAAATATGTGCATTCCTTTTTGTTGTATCTATGTGGTATTTTTAATACTGTAAAAACAAGAGCTAGCTTTTGCTGTATCACATTTTTTATAAGCTTTTTAAATTCCTTCCCAAACTCTTAGTTAAACTTAAAATAAAGACTAAAAACAAAAATAAAAATCAAGCAGTTCCAGGTTCTGTTTTCTCCATGTCTGTATAAAAGGGGGAAACAACCTCTTTCTTTTCAGCAGTAGCAGTAAGAATCAAATACAGTAGTCCTTAATAAATCAAATTACTGATTTATGCAAAAAGCATCATCATAAGAAAATACTATATTCCCCACCCATCCCCACTCCTTGATCTCACAATTTCGATTTGGAACGTGCAGGAGTTCATGTCGACATGCCCAAGACGAAAATCAAGTCTCGCTCCCAGCCAGTTATAACTCCTCCAGAAAACAACATGTGCAGTCAAACCACGTTACGCACTTTTAATAACCCGTTCGCTTTTTTCTTTTTGCCAACACTGACTGTTCAGCCCCAACGCTTTTTACAGGTTAGACGTATTTATAGCTCATACCTGAGACTGACCCACTGGGCATGTTCACACCACAATGCATGGGGGTATCTGGGAATCTCCAATCTCTGTCTTCAGCTGGAGAGGATGGGTCAGTGAGAATGACTTAGTGCTTAGCAAGAGCTGGAGGGGAGAGACAGGGAGCCG